GAGGTTCCTACGGTCTCCCTTTTGCTCGAAAATCTGTGGGGAAGAACGCAAAGAAGATCGCAACACAAGCAAGCGGTGGGTCGTAAGTGTGCGAGCGTGATATGCGATATCCGTGATATGCTTCCCGCGCTACCGCGGCTCGCGGCTTCGCCGCACGCCACTCGTTTTGCTTTCTTCTCGCGTACTTCCCACGGATTTCCGAGCAAAAGAGAGACTTGTCGCAGTCTATTGAGGACATTAAGATCAACAATGTTTAGCTGCTCTCGTGGGGTCTAGGAACCTCCAGATGGACGATCTTGTTGATGGGACGTTCCAGGACCACAGACTTTGTTTTTAGCGTGACTCTTCTCACAAGCCCGTCACTCTCGTTTGGTTTTCCCTCCAGGAAGCGACCAAGGGGCAACCAGTTTTTCACCAAGAGTACAATGTCTCCAGTTTCAAAGTAACACCTTTACCTTTCCAGTGATTGCCTTCTCACTTATAGCAATTCAACTCCCAGATACTGACTTGAATGGAATAAAACTAAGCATAAGGCCACAAGTAGGCATTGCGGACCTAATTGGAACGGGAGGTATGGTTTTTATCAGTTTTAAAAGACTACACTTTATTGAAAACCAAATCCCCACCCCCTCCCTCCCCACGTCCTTAGCTAAATTTTATGTTAATTCGCTGTCTAAGACTGAATCTTTTAATTTTGTATATAACAAACGGACCGCTACCTGCCGTCACGAGAAGCTACTTATCCATTATTCTCAGTTTACGGTTTAATTGGTTAGTTTTCTTCAAGGTGGATCGGTTCAAGTAGTCGCACTGTAATGCGATTAAGTTAAGTTTCAAACACACTATTGTTCTTTAATGCTATTTTCATAGACTCAGTATAGTAAGTTACAAAGTGTTACAGATAAATCCTACGCAATACCTATTTTATCATTTCTTTTCTTATTACACATCCGAGTCCTATCAACAGCGGAAAAATTAACTTTTCGGATTAAAAACTAGCGGTAAAAAACGACGTTTCGATCTCTCTGAGATCATTTTCAAGTTGAAGAAAAAACGAAT